TCAACCAAACTAAAAAAGCAGTTTCAATTTTAAAAAATTATTTCAACCCAAAAAAAAAGTTTTATCAACCAAACAAAAAAAGCTATCAAAACTTTCTGTTTTTTTTTTTTGCAAAACAGAAACTTTTGGTTGAAAAACTTTTTGTTGACGCTTTAAGTTTTTGGTTGACTTTCTAAGTTTTTGGTTGAACTCCAAAAAGATTTGAACTCAGAAATCTCAAACTAGGGGAGTGGCACAGAGAGTAGAGAAGCCAAACTTGTGATTGGAAGGTAGCTGGTTCAACTCCAGGTTGGTCTCCATGTTGCATGTGTGTGCACATGTGTGATGGCTTAAATGCAGAGATTTAAAAGAGACCTATTATGCGAAATTCACTTTTTAAAGGTTTTTTTATGTCTCTGCATTTAACCCATTTATGTTAGTGAGCTCTGTTGGTAACGCCCTCCAAAAATCTGTTGACATTAACTCCGCCCTCCAAAAATCTGTTGACATTAACTCCGCCCTTCAAAGCCAGTGTTTACGTTAGCATGGCTAATAATAGCAGAAGCTCCGTTGTACAACCATATGAGACTCTGAGTCAGACCCAGAGGCTGAGTCATGGTCACAGCTTTTTTTTTCTCCCCCTTCTCCTGTCGGAGTTCTGCGCTCACTCTGCATGCTGTTACCAGAGCAGGGAGCAGCAGTGGTCAAAATACCTCAGAAACTCAAACAAATAGGCTCTAACAAGGCTTTAATAAGCTAAACAATAGAGGTACATGAGAAAATGTGTTCATAACAAACAAAAATAAAAAATTAAAATCTTTGTGTCCATGTTGGTCTCGATTCCTGGTCTCTCACTCTCTGATCCAACACTCTACCCATTGCCCTATTGGAGACTTGTTGTAAAACGAGCTGCACATTACACAACAACACCATGATGGCTTTTTATATGGAGGAGGTGGAGTCTCACCCGGGAGTTGCTAGGTAAGGGGCTGAACGCAGGATGTGGTGGGTTGTCGTACGGCTTGTGACATCACAAAATGTAGGAAGTATAAAACTTGTCATTTATATACATTAAAATACATTTACTTACTGTAAATATGCCCCTGGGTGCATTTTTTTGGTCCTATGACTGTTTTCTTAAGAAGTACATACCAAAGTTGAGTAAAAAAATCTTTAAAAGTGAATTTTGCATAATAGGTCTCCTTTAAGTTTCTGCATTTAAGCCATCACACATGTGAACACATGCAACATGCAGACCAACCTGCAGTCGAACAAGCCACCTTCCGATCACAAGCTTGGCTTCTCTACTCTCTGTGCCACTCCCCTAGTTTGTCATTTCTGAGTTCAAATGTTCAACCAAAAACTTAGACAGTCAACCAAAGACTTAGAAAGTCAACCAAAATCTTAAACAGTCAACCAAAATCTTAGACAGTCAAAGACTTAGAAAGTCAACCAAAATCTTAGACAGTCAACCAAAGACTTGGAAAGTCAACCAAAATCTTAGACAGTCAACCAAAGACTTAGACAGTCAACCAAAGACTTGGAAAGTCAACCAAAATCTTAGACAGTCAACCAAAGACTTAGACAGTCAACCAAAGACTTGGAAAGTCAACCAAATTTTTAGACAGTCAACCAAAATCTTAGACAGTCAACCAAAATCTTAGACAGCCAACCAAAATCTTAGACAGTCAACCAAAATCTTAGACAGCCAACCAAAATCTTAGACAGCCAACCAAAATCTTAGACAG